CCTCCTTCCCCGAAAAAAAATGTTATATACATGTATTGTGATTTAAGGAGATCTGTCAAGCTTTATCTTTCTTTCCGTGGTCCTCTGGCTATTCAAACGCCGTAACAACCGACAAAAATATTGGTCACTGGATCCTCCTAGCAAAGAAGAAACATACACTCTTCACTCTCTTAATCGAACATAACCCCCCTCCCACAAAAACCCAAAACAAAACCCCCAAAAAATCCCCCCTGAACGAAAAAACAGACACAATTTTTTTTAAAAGTCCGTAAACGCGAATTCAAACACTCTCCCTGAAACAAAAAATAATTTGAAAAAAAAAAAAAGAAAAATTAAACAAAAAAATATTATTTTCACAGACACGAGTTTTTTTCCTTCTTTCTTATGGTTTGCAAAAAAAACAAAAGGGGGGGATAGGGGGGGGAGGTTACTGACAGAATTATTTTCAGTTTTCCTTGAGTGACATGTAACATGACACAATGATTTCTTTGGTCATTGAAAACACCGTCTTTTGAAAACTCCAATCACGATCTTTCTTCATTCCCGCCTACGAGCCAAATTTGAAGTCTGAAACCGCCTTAAATTTTGAATGTTTCCTAAGTTCTTGTCTTCATCGTGGGTAATATTATATTCATGATACTGGCGGCAAGGGAAGAATAAGATTGTAGTAAATGTGTGATTAAAATAGACCACAATATCATGAAACGTATAATGGAATTGTTTATAGATAGATATCTAACAGGATTCAACTATGTTTCACCTGCCTTTTGTGGTGTAGCAGACGCTTTGTCGTCGCACACTGATGAAGACTGAGTTCGATTCTCAAGTGGGGACATTTTTATCGAGTATCCGGGTCTTTTTGCAGAAACTTCGTGTATATCATCCCGATATCTTCTAAATTGTGGCGATGAGGTCTTTGGATAAAACGAACACTTCCAAAATTATTTTTTTTAAAGAAAAAAAGAAAAAACCCCAAACCCCAAATCAAAGACAAACAACAAAATAAAATACCGTAAAAATAAAGAATAGTGTTTTGTGAATAGATCAGTATGAATATACAGGAATAAATACAGGACAACACATCTGTTAAGAGAACAATAACGAAAACATGCACGCAGAAAGAACAGACCGGCGAAAACGACCAAAACAAAGAAAGCATTTTTATTATTATAGGTACAGTGAGCTTTTCCACAGTAAAGCGTGCACCGTTATAATTTCCAAACTATGTTAATTATACATATATATATATTATTGTCCTTTTAACATAGTAATCGAATTAATTATACGATTTAAGTCCTGGAGCCCTGGAGTGAAAATAATATGTGTTCTTCAACTCATTGTTGTTTTGGTCAGTGGTCAGTCCGTCAGTCGTCCACGCTGACTCGTCGTATTGTTGTTGTCTTCTTATCTCCATCTAGTGGTCAGTCCGCCGGGCCAGGCCAGAGGCTCGTTTTGTTGTCATCTTATCTAGATCTAGTGGTCAGTCCATCACCTGTAGTGGCGAGGGCTATTGTTGCCATCCTACCTCCCTGGGAGCGGGCAGACAATGGGGGAGACGTGAGGGCGGCCGAGGGAGGAGTAGAGGGGGGGGCGGCTGGATGGAGGAATATATAGGTCTTTACTGTACGGGGATTTTTTTTTACTATATATAGTAGACCGCTAAACTGTCCGTAGGGGTGGACAGAAGACAGAGAGGGAGCGAACGAGAGAGAGAGAGAGAGAGA